CAGATCCCAGGATGTATGGATCTAATGGATTTTTCGCTGGAGGATGTTATGGGTGATGAATCACCTGCAGTCTGGGACATCCAAACCACCACCAGGATCCAAGGTTCAGATAGCAGGAGAGGAGAGATACCACCTGCAGCTATGGAAACAGAGGTCTTATGGCGGATGCAGCAAGTGCTGGCTTACCTAGACAATCCTGTTTCTACATGGGATGAGCTTGGATGGAGGGACGCGTCTGTTCAACAACTGGATGAGGGTATGGAAGATGGAGAAGTCGGCTAATCCCTCCAATTACAGATCCCAGAATGCATGGATCTAATTGATTTTTCAATGGAGGACGTTGTGGGTGATGAGTCACCTGCCAAAGTGCTGGCACTGGACCCAAGGGCCACCAGTCCGTGCCCTGGATATGGAGCCATTCCAGAAACTGGGGATTGTACTGACTTTTTTACTGATGAGGAACCAGCCGGGGAGCCGCCAGCTGAAGCGCTGGCAACTGGACAGAGGATCCAGGACCTCTGCCCCATACCTGTGGTAGTTTCAGAGGACCAGGGTGAGAAGGGAGAGGAGGTTGTTGTCCTCCCTCCCCCACAGTCAGCCAAAGTGGAGGAAACTCTTTTCCCTCCCAAGCCAGGATCTGTGCACCAGGGGGACAGTGACAGAGGAATGCCATCCCAGCAGCAGATCCACAGTCTGGGAGTGGAGGAAGGCAGCCTCCCTCCCCCACGGTTAGCCGGAGCAGATGTGGGGTCCCCAGCAGAAGAGCTGGCAACAGGACAGAGCGCCACTGGCCTCTGCCTAGCAACTACAGCCACCACCTGGATAACTCAGGGATGCTGGGCAGTCGGCCAAGATCCCCCACAGCATAATGGAGCCGGCCCAGCCACCCTGTCTTCTCCCCAGTGGCTGAGAGGACTTCAGGGAGAAGGACAAGTCTGTACTTCTCCCCAGCGGCAGGTATGTTCTACGGGAGAGGCAGAGGTTGGCTGGGTGAGTCACGCTTGGTGTGGGACAATTTGCATGGGGTACTGTGCGGGTGCTGGCATTGAGAGACTGGAGGTACCGACTAACTTCAGAGTACATCCGTCTGGGATCTACTCCTGCGTTAGTCTCCTGCCGAAAGGGGAGATATGTGACGGGAGTGACTTTTGGGGGTGGGGGGACCGCTTGGTCAGCTCATGTCCCCCTCATTATGTTTAACCCACCCTGTGCCTGTTTAGGGGTACAGGGTGTGAATGTCCCAGTATTGTGCATTTGTGTGTTGTCCTTTGTCTTTGTTCTCAGCCATGTGGCTGTCCATTGTTTGTTTGCCATGTGCTACCCCCCATTGTGCTGTGTCTTCCTGTCCAGCCAACTATTATGGGATGCATGTGTCCCTGTATTGTCCCTGCCATGTGGTTGCCTATTGTTCTATGCCATGTGCTTCATCCCATTGTTCTGTGTCTTGGTGGGATGGGGCGGGCTGATGATGTATTTCCTGTTCCTGGTTGTGTTTCCCCCCCGCCCTCTGTATATATCCTGTGTTTTGTGTTAAAATAAAGAGAGTTGGCTTCCTGTTTTAAGAAGAGTCGGGTGCTGTCTTTTTCCTGAGGGATTTCAAGGGTGTGGTCCGTGGATGGTGTTTGGACAGGAGAAGCTGCGGTTTAACGGAATATACCCAAGTGCGGTCAGGTACCGGTTCCGTTACAAACTGTGTATATAATGCAACTAGCATAAGTAGTGCAGTGGTCAGGACGACGTAACAATAAGTGCTGGAGGGGAAGAGCAGAGAGTGGAAACTGACAATCACCACTCAGAGTGGAGGGAAGAACTGAGCAATCAGTGGTCATGTGAACGCTCAGTTTTGGGTCTTGGAGGCAGCAGGGGGACAGATGCAACACTGGAACAATGTTGCATCCACCCAGGTGAGTAGAAATGTTTTTTTTGTTTTCTTTTTTAAAACCCCAACTTCTCTTTTAACCCTTGAAAGCCTGCAGCACTGCACTGAAACTGTATAGACTGCAACATACAGTGGGGCAAAAAAGTATTTAGTCAGCCACCAATTGTGCAAGTTCTCCCACTTAAAAAGATGAGAGAGGCCTGTAATTGGCATCATAGGTAGACCTCAACTATGTGAGACAAAATGAGAAAAAAATCCAGACAATCACATTGGCTGATTTGGAAAGAATGTATTTGCAAATTATGGTGGAAAATAAGTATTTGGTCACCTACAAACAAGCAAGATTTCTGGCTCTCACAGACCTGTACCTTCTTCTTTAAGAGACTCCTTTGTCCTGCACTCATTACCTCTATCAATGGCACCTGTTTGAACTTGTTATCAGTATAAAAGACACCTGTCCACAACCTCAAACAGTCACACTCCAAATTCCACTATGGTGAAGACCAAAGAGCTGTCGAAGGACACCAGAAACAAAATTGTAGACCTGCACCAGGCTGGGAAGACTGAATTTGCAATAGGCAAGCAGCTTGGTGTGAACAAATCAACTGTGGGAGCAATAATCAGAAAATGGAAGACATACAAGACCACTGATAATTTCCCTCGTTCTGGGGCTCCACGCAAGATCTCACCCCGTGGGGTCAAAATGATCACAAGAACGTTGAGCAAAAATCCCAGGACCACACAGGGGGACCTAGTGAATGACCTGCAGAGAGCTGGGACCAACGTAACAAAGGCTACCATCATTAACACACTACGCCGCCAGGGACTCAGATCCTGCAGTGCCAGACGTGTCCCCCTGCTTAAGCCAGTACATGTTCGGGCCCGTCTGAAGTTTGCTAGAGAGCATTTGGATGATCCAGAAAAGGATTGGGAGAATGTCATATGGTCAGATGAAACCAAAATAGAACTGTTTGGTAGAAACATAACTCATTGTGTTTGGAGGAGAGAGAATGCTGAGTTGCATCCAAAGAACACCATACCTACTGTGAAGCATGGGGGTGGCCAACATCATGCTTTGGGGTTGTTTCTCCGCAAAGGGACCAGGACAACTAATCCATGTACAGGACAAATGAATGGGGCCATGTATCGTGAGATTTTGAGTGCAAACCTCTTCCATCAGCAAGGGCATTGAAGATGAAACGTGGCTGGGTCTTCCAACATGACAATGATCCCAAACATACCGCAACGAATGAGTGGCTTCGTAAGAAACATTTCAAGGTCCTGGAGTGGCCTAGCCAGTCTCCAGATCTCAACCCCATAGAAAACCTTTGGAGGGAGTTGAAAGTCCGTGTTGCCCAGCGACAGCCCCAAAACATCACTGCTCTAGAGGAGATCTGCATGGAGGAATGGGCCAACATACCAGCAACAGTGTGTGCCAACCTTGTGAAGACTTACAGGAAACGTTTGACCTCTGTCATTGCCAACAAAGGATATATAACAAAGTATTGAGATGAACTTTTGATATTGACCAAATACTTATTTTCCACCATAATTTGCAAATAAATTATTTCCAATCAGCCAATGTGATTGTCTGGATTTTTTTTCTCATTTTGTCTCTTATAGTTGAGGTCTACCTATGATGCCAATTACAGGTCTCTCTCATCTTTTTAAGTGGGAGAACTTGCACAATTGGTGGCTGACTAAATACTTTTTTTGCCCCACTGTACATAACTGGTCCATATGGTGAACTTGGTGTGAATTGATTCACTTTCAGATCATAACAGAGCACAAGGGGGCCCTTTTTACGTATGAAGGAAAAGAAGGCGAACCATTACATGCAGAAAGGTTTCACAGTAACAGTTGTGAAAATGTGGAATACTGTATAAAACCAATTCCTCATCTTTCTGACATGAACATTCCAATGTTATTATTTCTTCCATTATAAATTACTCTTGACCTATATAAAGATGTAACTATTCTTTTTCTTTTACAGTGTGCTGTATCAATGTGATGTATCACAAAAATCATTTAAACAAAAAGGTTCTGAGTCTAGCAAATGGAGGCTATTATAAGATGACATTCAGGCTCTCCCGTTATAAAATAACTGCCATTTCTCTTCCAGTACTTGGCCAATTATGATTCTGAATTTTCACCCTTCTTTTTCTACAGTTAGAAATCATGGGGCCCCTTACAGCCTACCTGACAGGGTACACTGTTGGGGGGAATTTGGTGAAATATCTAAATCCCCGATGACTAACTTTTGAAACAGAGAAAGTGATTGAGGACACGGTTCAGTCTATCTCTGCAGCCTCAGGGGTTGTAAAATGCAGGTCACTGTAGTATGTGTGAAAGCCACAAAGGATTATGAGCAACACATTTTTTTTCTACATTCAGGACATTGGTCAAATGTACTGTATATACTCCACTATGTTCTGTCTCACCAATCTAAGCACTGAACTGTGATATCTATGACTGATCCAGTTCTGGCAAGATAGCTGTAACTTAAAGTCTCAGTAATATAGCAGGCAGTGACTCAATCCAAATGACATTTTGCAGATAGTAGAAAGTTTTAATCCAAAACTTGTGCAGATCTTAACAGATGAACATCGGATAAGTAAAAAAAAAAAATCATAGTATGTCCAGCTCCAGTAATTACATGTGCTCCGAACAGAAACTAAAGACAGACCAAAAAGAGGATGGGACTAGCTATACAGAGCATCTCCTAGATATGGAGTGAGGAAGGGACAAAATTATTTAAAGGCAAACAAACAATGCAACTGTAACATGATACTCTGCATTTGGACCTATTGCCATATACAGTATTAGTTTTCCTAACTGTTGTGTTCACTTCGCGACAAACACTGGTATACTGCTGAGGAGAGAACAAGGTAACAACAGTGAAGAATCTGTAAATATTTTTTCATAAAAAGATATATTCGCTGAGGAAGCTTTTATTTCTGGTAGATATTTATTGATGAATGTGGATGAAATAATCTCTTCTGTTAATCTGCAATGATACCATTACATGTAGAAAGCAAAGATGCAAAGCACTGCTACAATTGAACAGAGTCAGAAAGCAGATCCATCATTATCACTATTATATGGAGACACTGTTTTCTATCTGACTTGGGTCCAGGTAGGGATAGGGCAGGCACATGGTCTTGTTCCTCTCCTGGATGCATTTGGAGATCTCAGACAGTTGATCCTGGAACTTCTTAATGAACTGTTGTGGGGTCTTCTCTGTAAAACGTTCATCAGGGTAATATCCTAGACGCCTCTGTAAAAAAGGAAACCTTGCTATGATTTTCTTTATAATGCATCTGTTCAAGTGTATCTAAACCCTCACCTTGTAAAAAAAAACCCATTTAGTTTCAAATAGAAATGAAAGAAAAACATTTTTGTACTGTAAACAGTACAGAAAAAAAAAAAGTATAAATCGCTTTTTTTTCCTTATATAAGTGATCACATATGCTCTGTTCTCTGCTGCATAAGGAGCTCAGAGAGGTGGGGAAGGAGAGACAGAAGGACACTGAACTTACTAGTGAATGTTTGAGTCTGTGTGTATGTGTGTGGGGGGGGACTGTCAGCACAAGTCTGATCATTACAGAAGAGCAGGCTGCGTTCTCAGCACATCTAGAAAACTGACTGCACTGTACTTTTCTGCCTAGTGTTGTCAGTTACTGGCAAGAACACCAGGAATTTCACACAAGGGAAGCAATACAAAGAAAACAGGATATATTTATCTTATTTGAACATATCTTATAAGTACATGCTACAGCAAGCACATATCAGGAATATGAAAGGCTGGGTTTACATATTCTGTAACTAACCACCACATGCTATAGCAGACCCTGGAAATGCATTTGATTGTTAGGTCCTATTTGAAGTAGATCATGTGTTATACAGTTTTTAGGCCCAAGGCATATTTGTGTATTACTTCGCTCTACTTCCAGGCACTCACCCTATCCATGGGCTCATTGCTGAGAACCCACACAGCACTTATGCCAACAGTTGAACTGTTCACATCAGGCAATGCCTCCAAAATAGTCTTCATTGTAGTGACACCTTTGGCGCTGGGTGGGGGTCTTTTCATGGTGGGTGGGCCATTAGGTATCCATGAATAGAAGTCAAACTGTAGCAGAGGCAAACACAAATGAAAGAACATTATATATTAAGATTCCACAAAATGTGGCAAACATTTGAGTCTCTGGTTACCCTGTACCAATGCGCAACTATCGGTACCCAGTGGAACGTCCAGCACACAATCTCAGGGATCAATTTAAAGTCACAGCTCAAACATCCACAGGACATCTGTCTCATTCTGACTTCCACCGGACCCAAACCAGCAAGTGAGATGGCACCTCTCAGGACCAGATACCTTGTGTGTGGTTCTGCGGTCAGTTTTAAGCAAGTCCACTTGAGGCTTAGATTCTAGCACCTCTGCAGCTTTCTTGAGCAGTTGTTCAGTCCATGGGCTGCCAGGCAGCAGCAGCCCCTGCACCTCTGGAACTGTCCTGGGGTGAAGGAATCCTGCTCTCCCCTGTCTCAGACTATTTATCCACACTCTAGTCCCCTCCTGAACACTTCCCCTCCAGGGATAGGCTGGAGCACCAAATAAATATTCAGGCTGATTGATTTGAATCTCCCACCCTAATTTCTTAAGCTTCTTCCAAAGGCGAGGGAAGAAATGTAGCACCCTCCTAGTCAGCTAGGGAGAGCTAGATTTCAATTGTTAGCAAGGAGGGCTGAGTAGCAGCCTGGGTGTGATAGCTAGCAGGGGTCAAATTATGGTCAGAGCTGAAAGGCTCTGCATACCAGCCCTCTGGAATTTCCCCCTGCTCTAAAACTTTGGAGAGAGGTCTAGAAATAGTGGATGGATCTGAGGAGTGGCTGGTCTGTATCCTTGTAGGATCCTGGCCAATCCCCAACAAGAGGCTTGGCAAAGGGCCAGGACAACCTTTAAGAGTAAGGGAGCCTGCCTAGCTGGAGGAGAGCTGAAGGCAGGAGCCTGTGAGGGGGCTCAGATAGAGAGGGGCTCACCTAACGGCAGTGGAGCATTGAAGGATGAAAGCTCAGACCTTCACTGGTCTCTAGAGCAAGGACCACCTGTGTGGCAGGAAAGGAGCGGCCCATCTAGAAGGCCTGGTAGCAGCCACCAACCCACCAGACGCACAGCAGAAGGTGTGAGTGAGTAGATCTGCACCCCCCTGGGCCAGAAAGGGGAAGGATGCACTCTAGTGAGAAGCTGGATTAGCCTGCCACCCAGGATTTTTTCACTAAATTTGTGGCAGACACTATATCCCTTGCTCAGGGATTCCTCCAGGCAGCTGGGTAAAGAAGAGCATTTATCTGGGGTTAGGGTTGCCACCTCATCCTTTTAAAACCAAACACATATAAATTACACAGGTTCTGTGGCTGGTAAGGTGGTAATTAAACTCACTTAATGCCGTATCTACATTAAATTAGGCTCAGAACCTGTGTAATTAATATGTGTTCGGTTTTAAAGGGATGATGTGGCAACCCTATCTAGGGTGGTACTATAGGAGATGCTGGCTAGCTCTCCAAAAGAGACTGTTTTAATGTAAAGACTTGTAAATAGTTCCAGGAGGTTGTGCTCGGTTTCTCGGTTCCATTGGGAATCCCATACACCCCTTACCCCATCCAAGTTAAAATAAGCACAAGGACTGGTTACTGACTCCTGGACGCAAGTTGGTGTGGAAATGCATGTTGCCTGGCTGTGCAAGACTATAGGGGGACCCAAAACTACTGCTACTCCTAAGGGGGTAGTAGTACTACACAATCAATCTCCCAACCTGTAAGACCCTGAACAGACCAGAGCAAACAATTCTTGCTCCTTTGATTACAGAAGGAGCCAAAGCTAAATTTGCCTAGCAACCTATCCTAGGAGGACGCTACACAATTATACCAATGAGGATAGTCAGGAGTCCCTATCTGCACACCTGTTCTAAGAAAGTGACTCAAAGTGACTCAAAAACAAAGCATGGTATCCAGGAAACTAACATTTTTAGAATTAAACATCATCAATGGCAACCTCTATGTTTTTTCTCGGGAAAAGTTTCCTTGAAGTGGTTGTAAAGCCTCAAGGTTTTTTACCTTCATGCATTCTATGCATGAAGGTAAAAAACCTGTGTGCAGCAGTGCCCCTAGCCCCTTCAGTACTTACCTGAGCCCCATCATGATCCAGCGATGTGCATGACAGCCTCGGTTGTCCTGGGTCTCTGCCTCTTCATTGGCTGAGACAGCAAATGGGAGCCATTGGCACCCACTGCTGTCAATCACAGCCAGTCAGCCAATGAGGATAGAGGCGGTGGGGCCAAGCCGCTGCTCCATGTGTGAATGAACACACTGAGCAGCAGGTGCCCCCATAGCAAGCTGCTTGCTCTGTGGGGGCACCCAACAGGAGAAAGGGGCCAGGAGAGCCTGCGGGGGATCCAGTGCTTGTCACTTTAAAAAGACAGTTCAGGGTAGTTGCTAATCTGGTTTCCCTACAGAGTGTTCTTTCCCCTATCTGACCCAGGGGGTGCAGGTTTACTCACTCAGTCCTTCTCCTATGTTGCTGGTGGGTCAGTGGCTGATAACAGGCCTTCTAGCTGGGCTGCTCCTTCCCTGCCACACAGGTGGTCCTCTCTCAGAGGGAAGGTGAAGTCCCGAGCTTTCCTCCTTCCAAGTTCCTCTGCCTGTAGGTGAGCCCCTCTCCATCTGGCCCCCCTCACAGGCTTCTATCTTCCAGCCTCACAACCTCCTCAACTCTCCTGCTCCCACTCTCCTCTCTCCTGCTGCTGAGCAGGTTAAGTTGCTCTTAAAGATTGTTCTGGCCCCTTGCCATCATATTCAACCACTGCTTCTAGATCTATTTCCAAAGTCCTAGAGCAGGGAGAAATTCCAGAGAGCTAGTTTGCAGAGCCTCTCAGCTCCTGATCCACCTGGTTATTGCACCCAGGCTCAGCTAGGGGAAGCTCTAGTTTTAATTTTCAGTCAGGAGGGCTGACTAGGGGGGTGTTACACATATATGTGTTCTATACTCGCTAAGACTAAAAATATTTTATATCTAAAGATATCTGCATTACCATTCCTTTCTGTTTGTTGACTCTAGAATCCTTAGTAAACACGCAGTTTGATGGTGTCTTTGCAATTGTGATCATTTGTTAACTATACCTGAACCCAGGGTGTCAGAAGGCTAGGGTGTCAGAAGGTCAGGGCAACCTTTGGGAACCATCATCTTCCAGCGCTCACTGCAGGGGTGGCAATACACCAGCATTTCCAGGTAGTGTGTGCGCACTGCCCCGGCTGTGCTGTCATTCGCTACAGCAGAAGCCGATCAGCAGGTCCCGGACAACCATTTATTGCTGAGACCCACTGATCAGCTAAGCGAATGACAGAAGGGAGACCTATATTGGTAAACAACACAGGGCTCTCTACAGAGTGCAGTGATGTGGCAGTTTTTTTTGTCACATTGCTTAGTAAAAGTAGCACATATTACATACTTTACAGTTGTTAGGCCCACAATGAATACTTTGATTGCCCCTAGAAGTTAACCCCTTCCCAGCCAGTGTCATTAGTACAGTGGCAGTGTATAGTATTATCACTGATCACTGTATTAGGGTCACTGCTGATGTCAGTTTCTGTCAGTTCCCACCAAGCGTCAGTTAGTGTCAGATTGCCAGCTGCACTATGGCAGTCCCACAAGTCACTTATCACTGCCATTACTTGTATATATAAAAAAAAAAAAATTTCAGTTTATCCCATAGTTTGTAAACCCTATAACTTTCACACAAACCAATTAATATACACTTAATGAGATTTTTTTCACCAAAGACATATAGCAGAATACATTTTGGCCAAAAGTTATTATTATTATACAGGATTTATATAGCACCAACAGTTTACACACCACTTTACAATAAAAAGAGGAACAGTACAATCACAATACAGTTCAGTACAGAAGGAATGGGAGCGCCCTGCTCATGGAGCTTACAATCTAAAGGGAGCAGGAGGTGCTACAAAAGGTAATAGCTGCAGGGGATAATCTGATGGAGGTGACTCAAGTAGTTCTTAGGTAGAGGTTGGGTAGGCTTTCCTGAATAAATGAGTTTTCCAGGATCATCTAAAGGCGGACAGCTGACCAGACATACTGGGGCAGGGAATTCAAGAGGATAAGAGAGGCTCTGGAGAAGTCATGGAGGTGAGCGTGGGAGGAGCCAACAAGAGTACTGGAGAGTAGGAGGTCTTGGGAGGAGAGGATGGTTTGGGTGATATCTGCAGATGAGGTTGGTGATGTAGCTGGGGGTGATGTGGATGGCTTTGTACGTTGTGGTTGGTATTTTGAGTTTTATACGTTGTGTAGGGGTAGGCCACTGAGGAGGGAGTTGCAGTAGTCAAGGTGGGAAATAACCAAGGAGTGAATAAGATGTTTTGTAGCGTCATTAGTCTGGAAGGGTCGAATTCTGGAAATGTTGTGGAGGTTAGCCAGTGATTGGATGTGGAGGCTGAAGTAGAGGTTAGAGTCTAGGATTATGCCTAGCACCCTGGCATGTGTGGAGGGACCAATGGTTATACCGTTGATCTTAATGGTAAAGTCATGGGGAGGGGATTGGGGAGGAGGAAATATTTGAAGCTCAGTTTTGGAAAAATTGAGTTTGAGGAAGTGGTGTGACATCCATACTGATACGTCACTTAGTAAATTTGTGATACTTAAGGAGATTGAGGGGGTGAGTTGAGGAGTGGAGAGATAGATCTGGGTGTCATCAGCATAGTGGTGGTATTGAAAGCCACAGGAGGTTATCAACTGGCCCAGGGAAGAGGTATAGAGAAAAGAGGAGGGGCCCAAGGACGGAGCCTTGGGGTACCCAAACAGAAAGAGGAAGAAGAACGGAGTATTGTATGTGACACTGAAAGTAGGAGGAAAACCAGGAAAGGAGAGTCATGGAGGCCAAGGGAGTGGAGTTTGTTGAGGAGAAGTGGGTGGTCAACTGTGTCAAAGGCAGCAGAAAAGTCTAAGAGTATGAATATTTATGAAGAAATTTGATTTTTTTTTAATTTTTCATTTGAAATGTTTTATAGCAAAAGTAAAAAATAGTTTTTTTTTCAAAATTTTTGGTCTTCTTTTCTTTATATAATAAAAAATAAAAAACCCATTGGTGATTAAATACCACCAAAA